TTTGTGTGTATTTTACAAATTGTTTTTGATGATAGCCTTATCCAAAAAACACCCAATAACCACACAAAAAACAAACAAACCAAACAACCATACAAATTTAAATACTTGTACAACGACTGCACCAGTGGAGAAAAATGTAGAGGTATTACTAAGTGTTATAATTATTTTGATTTTTGTGTGCCCTTCCAGTAAAAGTAAATTCACTTAAGTCCCCATTTGAAACTCACTCTCACTTGACCTAATGAGCAAATATAATGTTTAGCCTATACTTTTCGTTATGGCCACATCTGGGTCGTCGTGACGAAAGATATTTTAAAGTTTAAGAATGGAAGATATAAATTTACTCTTACCTGACTTTCCTGCCCACCTCCTTTTGAGACAGCTAATCCTGGGACTATGCTAGAAGCTGCGGTTCCCTCCCCTTAAACTTGAACATCTAAGTATTGTTATGGTCGATGGTTTGTGTTGTGGCTTACCTGGCAGACAAAAATAGCCTAGATCAGGAAGTCAGGAAGGAGAGTAGGCCTAACTGAGAAGTGGGCAACGGGCTGGCTCGGTCAGACAGTCAGACAGAGGTAGGGCTACCGTTCCAGGTGACAAGACAAACAGGAGGTAAGGCCGACGGGCAGGTGAGGCAGGACTGTCGTTGATCAGGGACTCATTTCCGTTCAGACTGTGGAAAAATGTAGGCTATTTCACCACGGTCTCGTTAGACTCACATCATTTCACAACTTGCCTTATTTGCCTTAATATTGACTTCGTTCGTGATTCGTGTGTTGTGTTGACCCCAGGCAGGTACAGTACAGTGACAACAGTGACAGTCAATATCTATCTATCATTCTATGACATGACAGGTGATTCAGAATAATAATAAAGTTCTAGTGATCTAGATTTAGATAATCTAGATCACGTTAACAAAGATCTATATATAGATCTATCTAGATCTAGACTAGATTTTTAGATCTTGTCATTGTAAGTCACGGGAAAACAGCTACGAGAACATTTTTCATTGTTAGCATTTGGTTAGAGGAAAAATCCCTATAAAATTTCGCGGGAGGACTTTCGTAACGAGCGACCACTATGACTATGAGACAGTGTAGAATAGAGGGGTAGGGTTAGGGTTAGATTTCTTCTTTATTGTGTTTGTTAGGGTGGTTGCTCATTACGGAAGTCCTTCTTATAATTTAATAGTAAGCAGTGTATAAATTTTGTCCTCCACCCGGCCCTTGTCATTCTCCAGCCTGAACTATAAGTAGAAGGAGTTCCGCGGAGGGCCACCAACCAACAACACGCAAAAGAGTGGGTATATTGGAAGGAAGTCGTTATTCTTCCCCCAGGGTGCCAATAATCTGGTTGTTATTGGGTCAAAAGAAAGAACAAAACAGTTTTGGAAGATGAACTAAAAAAAACAACATACTATACCTAATCCTAACTCTTGTAATAGTAATAGTAATAGTTTGCTCAGTTGACCATGTCACGATAAGTGCCGGCCCTCTGCGGGACTCCTCCCCTAAAATAAGTAGACTAAATTTTGATTTCTCAATGTAAAAGTCAAGATTACTAATGGCAGACTTATTATAATTACACAAAAACATTAGTGGTGATAACGAGAGAATTTTTTAAATTATGATATATATATATATAAGCTAACATACTATTGATCTCCGGAAAGAGAAATCTGCTATGGCACAGTGTATGTATGCTTTCATCGCACACACACACACACACACACACACACACACACACACAACGCCTCTCTCTCTCTCTCTCTCTCTCTCTCTCTCTCTCTCTGACACACACACACACACACAACGCTCACACTTTATCTCTCTCTCTGTCTCTCTATCTCTCTGTCTATCTGTCTGTCTCTGTCTTTGTCTCTCTCTCTCTCTCTCTCTCTCTCTCTCTCTCTCTCTCTCTCTCTCTCTCTCTCTCTCTCTCTCTCTCTCTCTCTCTCTCTCCTCTCTCTCTCACACTCACATACACAATACACACCATCCCTTAATTTTTCCTCTACTTTCAACTTTTAAAGTGTTTTTAACGTGTTCCTGGGCCTTAAAAGTTTTTGAAATTCTCATATTTTTAAAACCAAATTAAGAAGATTGACTCAATTGTTTGAAAAACCTAAGAAAAAATGCCAGTTAATAACACATTATGGCAACTCAAAAATGTGGATGGAACCTGAAACTCTGGCATTATAACTGATGAGGATTTTAACCTCTAGACTAATGAGTTACATAGTCTACCATTTAATGAATTTTAAAATTATTTCCTACCATAGTCAAGCCTGTGTGAATTGCCACCTGTCCAGGATAACAAAATAACGAAAATCATTTTCACCTCTACAATAGTTAGCTATCTTGGATAGTTTAGACTCTAATATGGTACTTGAATTATTGTCTTTCTGTTTCAGTGTGTGTTTGATAACAATTATCTCTGATTTCAGTAGTAAATAAAGCAGAGATCTTAACAAAACTCAATTAAACTTGTATTTAAAAATGTTATAAAATTCCGCAAAGGTAAAATTTAACCTATTGGGTTTATTTTTCTTCAGAATCATGTCAAAGGAGGATAGTTTCGGTTTCACGCATTTGGTGGAAGAAGATGACGATGATGAGGCAGCTCCCATCGGAAACGGAAATCTTCAAGTTGACCTCCAGCCTCATCTGGGAGGACCTCCGTCGTACGATACCGCCACCCGGGTGACTCCGTCAGACCACGGTGGCTTCGACAACCCGGCCCTTCAGATAGACGATGGTGATTGTGGCTTGTCAGAGAGGACACTTGGCCCCAACGTTTCACGTCCTCGTGGTTCATCGCAGACGCAGCAAACAGCTGATCCCTCTGCTTCCAACGGACAGAGTAACCCCACACACTCTACTGCGGCTGCAAATACGAACAATAACGAAGGATCCGTGAATCTCTCCAGCATTCAAGTGCAGTACGACAGTTCTCAAGGGAAAGTGAACGTGATGCAGAGTCAAGTGTCCACGCGGCCTGACGGTACCCGGTACATCGACACTCAGGGAATTCCTCAGAGGTGGTCAGAATTGCAGCGGCCCCTTCGCCAGCGCAGAATCAAATATCTGAAAATTTTTTCCATCATCTCTTGCATATTTTTCTTCCCTTCAGGAATTCCTGCTATTTACTATGCCTTCAGGACGGAGAGGGAATTTAACGAGGGGATAATGCGAGGCAATATTGACAGAGCTCAGAAATTTGCCAAGAGAAGCGAGAGTTTGATAATCCTGTCCCTGGTTATGTCTGTTGTGGTCGCTGCTCTTGTGGTGGCAATTATAGAGAGGCCGTATTTCTCACACCGTGATCATGCACACAAGGGAGCAGTGGTCGGGTAGGGAAAGGTTTTGATGATTGTCGTGAGGAACAAGACTTGAAAATATCAGTCGTAAGGTGGGTCTGATCAGATCAACTTTTATTTTGTGAGATGGGGAATTTGGGGAGGGGCTGGTGGAGAGAGACGAGTGGACATCATTTGATATGTATTTTCTAAATTTATAATATTATTGAGTGCAGTGCCTAATTTCACCTGTAAACACATGAATTTACTCAAGTTTCTCAATTTTCACTATTGTTACTTGAGGATACACTTGAGCAGCTTGTAGGATCTGAATAATTTATTCTGAATATTAAGAATGAATTCAAACATTTTAGGGACATTGACATTGTTAATGCAGCATATATATATATTGTTTTTTAAACTGGAACTTCTGGTTCCTGACCTTGTTCTTCTACTCCGATAATCCAAAGTCCAATAGTTATTCTGTTCCGTGGATACACTGATGAAATGTTAATCTCAGGCTCCTATATATGTCGCAAAGGCTTTTTTCTTTTGCACGGAAGTGCCTGATAGAATGATAGTAATGTCTAAAGTGTGGTGAAACAAACCAGACTGTGGAACACATCCTCCAGCAGTGTAAGACACACACAGCCCTGAGACATGAAATATGGCCAACGCCGTCAATACTACTGGAGAAACTGTACAGGGAAACAGAGGGTCCAAGCAGAATAGAGTGTATACTATAATAGATAATAGATAACCAGTCTTCAGGTGCGATGGGATAAGCAGAAAATTGATATTAGTTATAACAATTTAGGGTTTGATGATGATGATGATATTAGAATTGCTATGAAGGGTTAACATGTGCAGTTTGAAGCTTTCATTCTCATCAGACTGGAGGAGCTAATACGTCTTTTATTTCTTTTATTAAATGTTTTTCTCTTTGTAGTTTGAGGCCTACTGTTTTGAGCCGTAGTTTGTACATTTTATATCATGTGAAGAGAGTAGTTTAACATAGTTATATTACTCATCAAACAGACTTCTGACTTCTCTAACTTTTTTATTCTATTATTTTCCCCGACAGGGACAAAGATCTTTATACTTCACTTCTGAAAGCGCACCTCACCATTTTGTGTACAAAAATTGAAAATGTTGCAGGGTTATATTACATATATATATATATATATAATGGATTTTATTCCTAAAAGCATTTCTTGGTTACTGTGTAGGTTTAGTTATTATATTGATTTTAGTTCAAGAATCTCATTTCAAGAATATATATATATAAATTGAGCTTGGTTGCCTGCCCCTGACTGAGAAAGTTAGAATCTCACATGGTTTGGCTAAAGGCATTAGAAAAAAAAAGTGATATTTTTGTTATTAACTGTTGCAAATTTAGGTAGACTTCCTCCCCAGCACTTCTCTTTTTGTGTATCCTACAACTGACGGCAGGTCTGTTTTCGTTGATCGTTTCTGAAAAGTGTGATTATTTTTAGATCACCACTTCGGGACTGAATGCTACTCATGTTTTATGTGTTCTGATCTTATATGATATGGTTGCTTTCGCTTTTGCTGGTTTACATTACAGTGGAAGATCTCACATGGTCTTTTCTTGTGTGATGATTTATTTATAATTTGCGATCTTTTGGGGAAATACTAAGTCTTTTAAGTTGTTTGGGGTTTGTTTGTTTTTTTGTGCATTCCATCCGTGCTTTGTAGATTTCTAATTTGGTTTACAAAAGCAAAAAAACTTATTGTCATTGATAGGTTAATGTTAAAATGATATGATGTCATGTGGCTTTTTTTTCTGAATCAATCACAGCCATTGTTTGTTATTTTGTTATATTTGTGATGAACACATTCCCTGCCAGCCTGTGTAATGTAAAAGGATAAAAATAGTAAAAATAAGGTAAGGAATTGTACTTTATTCATCTTCTGTTGGAAGAGCGTGGCAGTTTTCTCTAATCACCGGCATTTACATGACCTAATAACTGTGTTCTAGATGCCGTAAAACTCTCACTAAAATGAAAAACTAAAACTCGTGTAGCCTTTGTGTTTGTTGGTATTATCAAGAAGCCAGCCCAGGATATGGAAAGATGGAAAATGTTTGTTCTTGGCCTTTACTTTACAATTTACCCTGATGCAGGATGAGAAATGCAAATAATGATTAATTATGTGTGTATTGGACATAGGCCTACCTGTAACCCCCCCCCGGGGCAGTGCCACTGACTGTAGTGTCTTTAGGCCATTCCCAAAGGGGTGACATATCTCGTTCAAGCATAGTAGAATTGTAAATAGGCTGACTCATGTCACGCTCATAACTGTGCCTGATCTACAACAGGGAACTGCTGCTTTTTCTTTCCTGATCCTTACTATTGTCATTTTCCTCTACTTCTTTTGTATGTTTGTCACTCCCTTGTGATCTGCTATTCTGGGGTGCCTTGATAGTCGAAGCAGACCTTGTGCTGTTGAAGTTAGAGAGGTGAGCAGTCTAAGTCTGATTCCCTGTAAAGACTTCTCTGTTGACACCTACCCCTTGGCGCTCATATGACCTTATGCAGTTGCGAGCGCCGTAAAACCCTCTACTATATTACCCTGTAACCTGGAGAATTTTATTGAGTTCTGTGTTATCTTTCTTTGTGCCTGGTTGCATCTGACACGGATTAGGTAGGCCCTGACAGTACAGGCAGGATCAAAGATACTTGCCTCCTAAATGATCTGAACTGTTAGTTTGGGCAGGGGCTTGAAAACTTATAGTAAAACTTTGATAACTGAAACGTCATGAGACCAGAGAATTTCTTCGTGTTAAGCAGATTTGATTTTTAGAAGAAGTTGAAATGTATAGAATGAAGGGATTTGAAATCCTTTTGTGGTAAAAGGAATTTGGTGTTTAGACGATTTTGTGTTAAGGAAAGTCTACATTCAATTTGAAGCGTACGATACTTCAGAAAGTGTCGTTTCAAACCTAGAATGGTTTTGCGTTTATTTGAAAGGTTTGTTTGTGAGTGCAAAGCTCTCTCCGCTTGTCTTTCGATGATATGGCAGCATGTCTCTCCCACCCCACCCCAACACACACACGCAAACACCTTTAATTGATGGCAAATTTTGATAATGCTGGCTCTCTCTCCTACGGTTTCACCCTCTTTGATAGTCAGCAATTCATGATAACTATAATACTACCTTACACTTTGAGTTTTTATTCCCCCCCCCATTCAGAGTTCATCTAATACGGACAGATAGATTTTTACACTGAGAAACACATTTATGGTCACATTCTGCCTTCCGTCTATTTTATACCTGACATTCCATGTTCAAAAACTCCGCCATGTGGTTTCACATTACCGGTACATTTTTTATACACATGTAACAATGGATCATTCCAGAGGTTGTGCATTGTTTAAAGATACTCTTGTTGGTTGCTGTTACGAGGTCAAATGGACAAATCAGTAAGTTTGTGTCGATGGGGGCATAAAAACGCATACATTTAAGAAGAAAAATCAGTAAATGTGAAAGATTTTTCCCAAATATTTACAGCTGTGTGAAGGGTTCACTTCTTGCAAAGACTATCTGTCAACTTTCATTTGACCAAAATGGCTCTAAGATGTTTCTGTGGTCTTTTATTTTACTTCTTTAACTTACAGAGTAGACCTACATGGATGCTTTTTGGGCACACCCTTCTGCTCAGTTAATATCATGTTGGGCTATGGTATGATTGAGTTGACCCTGGTTTGAGTCTCCAATGGGTGAGTTGTTTGGGGTCCACCTTCGTGGCTTTTGTGTATTGGAGAGGGATGTTAAGTTCAGAGGCTGAGCCTCTTCAATTATCTTGCAGCACTGTTGAAAGGGACCTTAAAACCCCTATAATTACATATGATCTATTATGGATGCTCTTCCTCCTTTGAATGAACACTTCACTGTCATTGTGAATGATTGTGAACTATTGTTCTGACTTTCTACTCTGTATATGCTAACAACATTAAGAAAATTACTTTCATCTGTTAAAGTGAATAAAGAAAGGAAGTGGTTTATGTCGCAGGAAGTCTATTGATACAAAAATATTTTTCTCATTTGTACGAATACTTCTATCGGTTGTGGAAAGACATTAAGTGAAAATGACCTTTTTGGGTCCAATAACAACACATTTGAAGTGGACTGAACTAATTGTAGCATTTCATTCCATTTGTTTGTATTTTTTTATCATGTTGGGTTTTGAGTAACTCAGGAGTCCAGTGACTTTCTCCACTATGCATGTTTCACGACCTCGGTGCTTTCTTGTCGTATCTCCATTTTAAAAAAATACATTGTATTGAAAATGTGTCTTCTTCTTAATAAGGTCACGCTTTGTTATGAACTGTTTTCACTGATTAAACAAATAAAGATACAACAAGAAAGCACTGAGGTTGCAATTTGTTTGCCAGCTGTTCGGATTATGTAAATTGTGATGAATTGTCTCCCAAAGTTTTGAATTAAAAAAAAATTGCAGTTTCATAATCAGTGGTATCAGTTGCATGTGCTAAAAAAAATGTTGTAAGAATTCAGGTTTTAAATG